TTTCTTATTGGGGAAATTTGGGGGCATATTTAGCCAAATCATTATTCACTCTAAATCTGAGTAATAAAACATTTGTTTGAATTTTTCTAAGAAGTTTAATAAAGGGCATAAAACAAGATTTTAATATTAAGTTTCTTAGAAAGTTGTGTGTTTCTGTATTTGGATTTAGGTGTGGAGCCCCTGGGATCAGAGTGGAGCAGTGAAGCACTGCTGTGGTTCCAGACGCTGGTGGATGGCGAGCAGCTCTGTGCAAATGTCCTTTCTGCCTCTAAACAAGGATACGATGTGAAGCTGGAGAGCAGAGGGCAGGATGTAGCAGCTGCCCTAATTACCGAGCAACTAGCCAAAGCGCCTGGAGCACCTCCCAAAGAGACACATGCAACCACAGGCGCTGAAGCCAAACGCCAAGAGAAAATAAAGGAAAATGAGCACAGCCAAATACATGTGCAAGCCTCCAACCAGACCGGAGCCAGTTCCAAAGAGATACCAACTGATGGGACTGCAGCGCTGTCAGAAGGTCAGCTGGATTGTACGTGCCCTAAAGATGAAATGCAGTGGTTTGATGATATGAGGAGCCTGATTGATACTGAGTGCTGTAATCTTGTTTCAGCTCCATCTTTCCCAGTGGACTGGAAGACAGTGGAGCTGCCTATGAATGAGACCTTTCAGCCGTACATCGCAGCTGTCATTAGTCCTTCCCTCTTCTACATGATCGGTCCCAGCCAGGGTCAGAACGCTCACTCAGGCTCACTGGCTGTCATAAGAAGATGCACAAATGGTGAAAATGTGATTCTCCTTCCTGTTGTAATTACTGTATTGTTGTGCAGTGGACCAGCAGAAGCTTCAGGGGGTGATGATGGAGCTGGCTGCCTACTGTTGCAACCCTCGGGCCTCTTCATCGTCCACCGTCCTGAGCAGACCAGCTCCTGGGGCTGCCTGCTGTGCCCAGTTCTCTGGTGAGGAACACTCTCATAAACATAAATACATTATGTATATCTTAAAAGGGCAAGTCAAGTCATCCAAATATTAATCTGCTTTCTATCACATTGCCGGATGGACATAAGGTGCCTGTCCAAACGTGTAACACGTGCTGCTATAGCGTGCAGCTCTTACCTCCATCCCCCTCTCCAGTAGTTGTCTGCAACACCATCACAGCTGTTGAAGAGGCAGCTAGTGAACATAGCCAGCAACACGGACACAGTGATAGGATGCAAAGCTCTCCACCCTTCTGTAGACATGAATTGTGTGTGAGTGAACCTAGTTCAGTGTGTTTGTAAGCATTGCCATGACCCTTTAAAGCCACTAGGTGTCAGACAGGTACATTATAAGACTATGTGAGGAAGCCTCTGACTCCATGAGGTGTTTCACACCCTAACATGATATTAAGCAAAGGTTTTACAAGGGATAAAAATATTAAATGCTAAAGTATAATAGCTAACAATATTAATCTTGAAACACTTTTTTTTAAAATATTTGCTTTTATCCCAGAACAATGTAGTCTTTTGTTTGAGGAATGTTTTGACAAATAATTACAGTGTGGATTAGTTTTCACATCACAACATGCTCTATGAGGAAATTGCTTCCAGAGTTTAATAGATACAGCCGGGGAAAACCCCATCGCACAGACAGCATCGTTCCCAGGCATCGCTTAATGATTACAGGGTAAGAGACTCTATGGGGACAGAGCAGCTGATCCATCATTGAGCTATTACACTTAGAAATATACTATATAGCACTTGGAATTCCATTCTTTCATTTACCCCACCAGTTTTTATGTTACTCACTGACTGCTTGAGACCCCACCTGCAGTTGTTGCCCCTGCAGACCTAAGCTGGTAATTTGGTGTCTGCTAGTAGATATAATTACACAGCGTGTGTGCAGCCGAGCATAGGAGCGGCTCTTCGTTAAACACAGTATGCAAGTAGGAGACTATAGCCTGACATACATTCCGCAGCTAACAACAGGGTCTGTTTTAATGGATTTTTCAGTGCTGTCTGTAGGTTCTGAGCTGGTAAAGGCTCATCAATTTTTAAGGGCAGCTGTGTAGGTAGAGTCGTCTTTGTCAACTCTTAAAGGCTGAATTCAAGGCTTTTTTGGAAACTTTAAATCTTAATGATCAACAACATATGGAAGAAACTTTTTTCTATAGTTTGTTTTACTGCACAGTCGAAAATTAAGTAAGTAAAATACACAAAAACAGTAAAATAGTAAAATACACAAAAACATCCTCTGAAAACATATCATTTGCTTCCGGTGGTGCCTCCTAAAAACTGCTAATGTATGGGATCAAACACCCTGGTTGGACTTTTTTGTTTGTTTTTTCAGCTGACAATAATTGGTACCGTGCGGTGGTCCTGGATGTCGCTGAGAATGAGATGACTGTCATCTATGCAGATTATGGCAACACTGAGAGGGTGCCATTCTCCCGCATCTTGCCCATCCCCGTGCACCTGCTGCAGCTCCCCTTTCAGATCACTCGCTGCACGCTCACTGGTAAGGCAAAATGGCTGTTAGAATAACAAGAATAACAGCAGTGTTTTTTCTAATTGCTCTGAGCTGTATTACTTTACTCCCTCATACCCGACTCTGCCCCCTCTCCGCTGCCAGGTAAGGAACACTTCCCAGCCCAGTGGCCAAAGGAAGTGCAGCAGATGTTTGAAAGCCTGCTGGCGAATGGCGTCCTCGCCACTGTCCAGTCCTTCAGTGGCTCTGCTAATGTGCTCTCGCTCACTCTGCCCACTGAGAAGGGAGGGGGACACATCACTGCCATGATCTTGGATGCACTACAAGCCCAGGCCAGGAGTAATCCTTGCCAACCCAGCACCCAGAAGGCTGAGCAAACTGACAGCAGCATACCCACTGCCAGCACTACAGTTGTTCCCGACTGCCCCCAGCCCAGGCTGACAACTGAGACCCAGAAGGGGTTGGAAAATACAACAGCTACCACTGGCCCAACCATAACCCCAGAGCAGGCACCCCAGACTCCCCAGCAGAAGTCCTTCAATGGTTGGTCAAATCAGAATGCAGTTGATAGTCTTTACTCTTAAATCATACATCAACCCAGGATTGATCTGTGTTTAATGTGGTTCAAATTACGTATTAGAAGAGCAGCAAGTAAGTACCTAACTAATAACTACATCATTGATTCAGTCTATTTATATTTACTGAATAATCACTTAATGTAAAAAAACTAACAAAAGATCCAGTATGTGAAGTACAGTAAGGGCTGAAATTCAGCAGCAGTTTGATGGTATTTTGTTTTTCAGATGATCCGGTTCAGAGGATTGTTGAGCAAATGGAGCCTCCATGTAGAACTGATACAAAACCGAATGGTATGTATGCTTTAAAACAAGAACATGATCTTTGACTGCTCAACCTAAACAGGTTTTAAACTTTAACATTCCAGTTACAATTAGTTTGTGACTTGGCTTTCTGTTTGAATGCCAGGTCCTCACACGTGTGGCTGCTGCTGTCTGAGCCTGAGGACTAAGGTCAGGGCTGGTTTCAATTAGATTTGGAAAGGATCTTTGAACTTTTATTTTATTTTGATGTGTTTGATAATATTGATAATGGGCAGCACTTGGCAAAAACTTGAAATTTGAGGTGGATAACATGTTTTTTGTTCCTCACAGATGGACCACCTGGACCAGTTGGTGCAGCTGCAGCTTTCTCTCATCAAGCAGTTAGTGGGACAGACAAAATAAGATTTACCAAGTACACAACCTTATAGTCTTGTTTGCCAACTTGTTGAAATTGAGGATGTTATGTTATTTCCAGACCATGTTTCTTTAAAACAAGTTAACTCTGTAGCCTCCAGAAACAGCCACCCAGCTTGCAGCAATTTTGTCACCTTTCGCCAGAAGTTGCCATCCAGCTTTTAATTTTACTTTTCAGGGCTTTTATGATTTTAACCTGTGGTTAAATTTCACTCACTTTTTCACTTTTTGGTTTGTGAAAGTTGAAAAATCAGCAACATAAGTGTGTGTTTGTCTCCTGTATGTATGCTGCAGAGCTCGTTGTACTGCCATCTGTTCCTTTGTTCAGCCATAATCACCTGTTCAGCTTGGGATGTCCAGCCTGATTGATTTATGTTTCAGTTATGTTTCAGTTTCTACATAAAGGTTCTGTGACAAAAAAAAAAGAATATAAAATGCAGTGAAGTGATTTTATTTCCGAGTATCTTTTGAATAATTTGCTGTTTCACTTTATGATACGTTCCTCCAGTTCAGATAAGATAGACCTGTAACACAGGAGGACACCAAATATGTTCAGTAAATAAAAAATATATATTAAATACAATAGTAAATTAAAATAAAAGGGATATGTATGGTAATGTTTTAATATACCAATGACCAAATTAGTTGGATTCCAGTTACAAAAAACTATACTTAAGACCCATGTGTGTTTGCTCAACCTCTGAAAGCAGAACCGCAGTACAGTAACCCTTCTCAGAGAAATTTGAAGCTGGTTGAAGCAAATTGGTCATCAGATAAAAAAAAAAACATGAAGACATAAAGTTACATAAAGTAACTGAAATCCAGCCAACTTATTCTCATATCAGTTAATGTATGAAGTAACTTAATTACCATTACTATTACGTGTAAAGTCATAGTAACTGTTCAGCCACATACATTCACGGTACATCCCACACCATGCATTAAATCATCAAATCATAGTGAGTCAAACATTACTTGGGTATATGTTTGTACCCTTAGTGTTGCCGTATGTGTGTGTAAGGCAAATATGGGGAGGTGAATGGTCCAACGCATGGATTCAGAATACTTGTATGAAGCATAAGCAATGGACACAGTGCAGAAAGTTGCGTCTGTGTCGCAATATTAAAAATGAATCGTGTGTGTGTGAACTAATTCCCTTTAGAGATAACGAAAACAATTAGACGCGTTTTACAATGCGTCTCGGTCACCTCCCTCCCACCCCCGGCTCCTCACTCGCCCTGTGCGGGGGTGTGAAGAGGACAAATTGGCCCCTACCGGCGCAGGTACATCAGAGGTGGGCATGGCGAGTAGGTGGGGTCGCTGCTCTCCTCCTGTCCGGAGCAGAGAGACCCAGCAGATCAGCTCCAGCGGGAAAGCAGCGCGGTGCGAGCAGCCGGAGAGGACCAGCCGGAGAGGACCGCTTTCTGCAGGAACAAGTCCAAGGATTGGGAACAGTGAGCAGCGCATGGTGAGTGGACACATTTCACTTCACATAGTCGCTCATAGAGTAAAAAGCTGTGTATTTATGGCTCTTATTTTTGGGTATGTATTAATGATTTCCCCTGATGTTTGACTTTAAACCGGCATCTATTAAAACAAGTGCAAATCTTACAATAAAGTTTTTTAAATTTCTAAGTGCTACTCGAAAATGCAAGCTATATGAACATTGCAGTTAACTAGACCAACAACTTGGGGTCTAAAAGAATTTCTTGAGCTCCATCTACCTACTTAGTACTTAAATGGGCTGGCACGGATCCATTTGTTTGGCTTCTTGAGTAAACCTCGTCTACTGTTGCATGTCAGGGTCACAACCTCTGCCCCCCCCCATCTTAAAGCTGCTCTGACCCTTGACACCTTTAAGAGTGACCAGATGTTGGAAGATAAATGGCTAAAAGTTGAGCTTTAAGGAAAATAAAGTCGTTTAAATAAACATTTGTGGTATTTTAATCTTTAAACAGTAGCTCAGGTTTATATTCTGTAAGAATATTTGTCTTTTAATTGGGGGAGTTGCATACAGTGAGCTTTAATAGATTCTTGATCAACTGATTATGAGCCACCATCTCTTTTTTTTAATGATTTTTAATAATTAGATTAGAGGGTTTTTAATTCAGTTTCCTAGCAATCTGAGAAATGTAATTATCCAGTGGAGGCTGGGTGGTTACCAGCTTGCTCAACACATTCCCATGCTTTCTTGCATACCAAGACATTTTGAATTATAGTCAGTGGTTGGTTTTTAATCAGACAGTTGTCACATTGTGGAGAAAAAAAAGTTTCCACATTTGTTCTTCAGTTGTTTTTAAAAGTGGCTATTTCAGGTGACTCACCCTGAAATAATTTCAACCATTGTGGATGTTTACCAAAGAGACACACCTCCAAGTACAGGTTAGGAGGATTTTTCTATGAAGTTGGTCCAAAAACGAGCACTCCTTTCTAATTATAGACTACAGAGTGGAGGCACTTTCCAAGCCTGCCAACCAATACAAAACAGACACACATCTACGGCTTAAATCTTCTTTTAAAGGTGGTTACTTTTTCAGGAAAGTCCCCCAGTTTGCAAGTTTAGTGTTGAACGTTATCCCTGTAGTTATGCACTGATAGCTAATCCCAGAAGCAAGATAGGAACATATAGGACTTTGTTTGGTCAGTTCTTTTAGTTTTCAGGCTAGGACCAAAGCCAGACAGAGAAGAAAGTTGTTCACTGACAGGCAGAAAGTGAGGAAAGCCAAAAGATGAGGGGTGGAAGGAGCCAGAAGAATGCTTGTGAAGAAGGAGCCAATTTTTGAGACAGGTGTGTGTATGCAATGTGTGTTTTATATGTAGGCATGCATGACTGCTTCCCCCTACACTTAGAGCATCAATGGCCCCTGGTGATGTTTATCAGTCGCGCGGCTTCTCAGTCACTGCAGATCTCTATCGCAGACACACAGGCTCCTCTTAAAGAGAGACTGCGTCCTGCACACAATTCTATCTCTGTCTCAGGAATATACACACAGCTTTACCTGTGGAGGAGGCTTTCTCTGGCATGTCGGTCCTCTTTAGCCCACCCCAACACACACACACACACACACACACACACACACAGAGGATATTATGGCCAACTATATCAGCAGCCAGAGTTAATCAAACCTTATCTGCAGCCGCTCAACTTGAACAGAATAAGGCAGGTGGGGTTGTTAATCCTTGATTTAGATGTCAGATTATTGGTATGGTTGACATGAACTTGTGTTATTCACTCAATTAACAGTTAATCAGGTACACCTGTGTCATTTAATTGACTTTAATGTAACTGCATTTTAGTTTTAGCATTTTTTGTTGTCACTGTCAGTTTTAATAGAGGTAGGATTAGATTGTAGAGGTAAGTAAACTGGTAACTTAGTGTAATTAATGATTTTAACATTTTCTTTTTCTATTTAAATTCGGTGATTATTCACTATATTCCCATCTGACAAGTTGTAAGAAGTTTTGTTTTGCGTCCTACAAACTTATCATAGGTGCACCCAGCTGGAGGACCACCGACATGTTTCTTTAACCAACTTTAGAATATTAATGGCAAGATAAGGTATTAAGTCTATTTTTTAAATAATGTATGAATCCACTTGTGTGAGTCAGAATGAATCTTGAAAGGGGGGGTTTGTCCTCAGGGTAGCATCTTATTAATTTTTCCACATGCCCTTGTAACTGAAGCCTTAAGTGGCAACCCACCTCCCAGGTGAACGCAGTGATAATCACACTGTAGACATATCACACTTTCACATCCATTCCTGTTAAAAACGAGCTCTCTTATGGGCTTCCTGACCACACATGCATCAAAAGAAGATGCAATCTATCTCTCTGACCCAGACAGAATACAGAATGGTCCACAGGCTCAGTCTGTCAGTGAGATGTGTGCCTGTGTATGGACACACTTTGTATAGTGGAGTGTGCTTTGGTATACACCATCGAGCTGAGTCGATGGGAGGCCGAGAACAGAATGAACTGACAGATTTTCCCCCTCAAGTTGATTGGTCCGTGGGGAATAAGAACCATAGCCAAATTATTCTGATTCTTACCAGACTTCAGATATAGCAAAGGTGCAGTTTTATTAACGCCAACTTCCTGGTGTTCCTCCATGGTAACTGTCAGTCATCAAGTATCTCTTCATTCAGTTCTCTATGACAGGTCAGGGCTCGACCTGCACTTGGCTGTGAAACCATGATAATCGTGGTTTAATACTTAACCTTAACCTGGTAAAGAAGTTAATATGAATGCATTAAATCATCCTTCTTTAACTCTCTGGTAAGTTAACACCTCCGGAGTTGTGAACCACATTTGTGTCATTCCATTAATTTTGTCTTCCAGTAGAAATAATACAAAAACAAACCTCAAAACTCTCACTTATGACCACACTAACACCATAACCTCTGATAAGGGGTTACAAGCAATATATTTCTTCATTTCAAGGGGTCATGAGGTTGGGAACCACTGCAGTAGCCAATCTCTCCCAGCTTTCCCTCTGCTCTTTGGAGTATTTTGTTCCTTCTTTTTGCTAAGTGTCTGCCTTTCGTTTATCATTCCAGGTGTCCCGACATGCACCTTCATATCCACCCCTCCCTCGTCGTTACGCTGCTGCTGCTTCTTCAAGGTCGGTTGACTGATTTTATTACTGTTTTGCATTCACTTTCAGTTGAGGAGTACTCTCTGTACCTCTCTGGTATTCAGAGCTTTTGGTTCGAGGACTCTTCTAATTAATGTTTTAAATGTTTAATGTTTGCGCACTTAAAAACCATTTGGAGCATGCAGCAGATATAAAAAACGTGACATTGCACAACCCTTCACTAATTTTAGTTTGGCTTAATGGCTGTTTAAGCCTGGATGAATACTTCGTTATATGGTTAAACCTGTCAAGTCTTCACTGCTGAAGAATTCCCATTATCTTCTCATCAAAGTGATTTCCTGCCTCCTGTCCTTAAAATACAGTTGTTTTCCAAGAAAGTCCAATTTTGCGTCGCTTTTACGGCGAATTGCCGTTGTCGTTCCGTCAGACCTGGGAATAGGCTTATTGGTATTTGCCTGAGGGAAGAGGCAGGAGTCGTGGGGCAATATAATCTTTGAGTTGTTTTCAAAAATGACAGCTTTAGCACCATCTGAAGTATTTATTAGTGGCCCTTGTAAGACTTTGAACTTGAACAAACCAGACCGTTTCACCTTGTCAAGACGCCCCCCTTTTTCCTCGTGTGTTGACAGCACAGATAACACGTTGCAGTGCTCCGCTGGCCAGATATCCTTGTAATCCTGCCTGTCAAATTAAATTCCCCAGATATAGGTATAAGCTGATCCTACTTTTAATCTCTGATTTCAAGAGGATATTCCTTATATCCCCCAGACCATGGTGGGATTAATTAGACATGGACTCATAGATTTTCATTCACAGACATTAAAGATACACTTTGCTCGAGGCACTCGGCTGAACAGACAGACTTTTTGTTCAGAGCTGTGGGGCCCCACTGACCATGAGAAAGCAGTTTGCCAAGACCCGAAACTTTCACTCTCAGGAGGACGTTGGGGCTGGACTGCTGTTGGGAGTAGGGCAGATAAAAGAGGGGTCAGGATTGTAAAAAGGTGGGAACTGCGGCCTCTCGGTTGCAGGTGGTACTTTTTCTTTAATGTTTCCTGACCTCATGCAGTTTGCTCCTTTCCTCCACTTGGATTTCTTGGACATTTACAGATGGATGTCAAGTCACTGGCTGTATTTTCTCTATAAGAAAATGTCTTTTGGTACAAATTACATCAACTTCAACTAAGATTCTTAGTTTTAGTCAAATTTTAACAGTAAATCATTGAATGGTTTTACTACTTAAATATTGTCAGTGTGGAAGCTCCCTGCTCCCTAGAGCTTATTTGTCTGGGAGCTTTGAATATGTATGTGGAACGGTGGATACTGTCTGGGGAGTGGGCCCTCAGGTTGGCTGGTGGCCCAGAAATCACCCAGATTAATTACCACCAGTAATTACCAACAAACCCCAACAAAGAAGTTAGTCTTCAACCTCAATGCCAGGAGAGCAAGACCATGTTTGCTTCTTCTATTACATACATCATTTTTTGGTACCTTTTTGTCTCATTATCTTTTTATGAGGATTAATATGCTAATGAATATAAAGAATTTATTGTTGCTCTAATGCAGCTTTGCTACATGCATGTGGCAATTCGCTGCCATGATGAAAACAAAGGAGCAAGTCGGCTGTGTTCTTTTTGAAAGAAAGATAAAGAACATGTGTCACTGCCGTATCACCCGGACTGCAGCCATGCTAAGCAGAGGACCGTCTCTCTGTTAATCAATGTCTCTGAACCACGCCAGCTGAACATGTCTCAGCGGAACGCTTGTGTCTCCTCTCCTGATGGTCTTCTTCTCCATCATGTGTCACATCTTGATGATCATGGCAGATCACAGACATGGGAGAAAGATCTCAGTGCATTGCTAATGAGAGCTAAATCTGAGCTATAAACAGTTAGATGATTGATCAGTTGGTTGGTCGATTAATTACAATTGTGTTTAATTTAGACCACATTGTGACATTTTATAATATTCTTTAGTGAATATATTTGTTGTATGGACTGTTGGTGAAACAAGTCATTTGAAGCCATGTGACCTCTTCCTCTTTGAACCATTTTTTTGACATTTTTAGACTAAAAACATAAACTCAAATAATAGCTATCTTATGTCATATATAATCCTAGCTAATTTCCGTTTTAGTAAAACACTTTTTTTTGGTACATTTTGTTAGTTTTTTTAATTAATCTTGTCTGGTATGTAATCATGTCATTACTTTTATTTTTGTTGCTGATAAAATCTGTTACATTTCCCTTTTTTTATGATATATATAAGCGCCATTTTTCTCCCCATCCATCACTGCACACCTTCAGTGACAGATGAGCAGAGGAGGAGGACAAAGTCAATGTATTTGCACTAAATTCTGGGTTGCAGATATGTACTTATTACTGTTGAACTTTTGCACAGAGAACCTCTCTTTGATGTTTCGTTGTTTCGCTCTTTTGACATTGGAAGAAGTCACTACAGGACACATCATCTATTTTAGCTAATTAGCCGGCGCTAAATCAACCTGAGGCTGACTGCCCGAAGCGTTACAGTAAAGTTGACGGGAACAAACTGACAATTTCCTCCTGTATTCCGAGTGAGGGGAGGGACTGTTTCCCAGAGAGTGGACTCTGTTTTAATGTTTGTAAAATCACTCAAGCACTCCGTCTCTGTGCTGGACAAATGCCCCTGTGACTCATCGGGGTTACCAGGGACAACAAGGCATGTTCAAATGGCTTTCTGAACAGGAAATCACATGTCCCTCACTCCTCACTGGAATGTACGTGTGCTTGAATAGAGCAACGTCCTTTCAGTGAATGGAGTGAAAGAATGGTTTTCTTTCCCTTGTCCACTCACATTAGCTTTGAATACTTAATTATCCCTCGCAGCGGTCAAGTGGGAGTCAGTGAATTGTAATGGCTTCAGGGACAGAGTCTTGTTCATTATTTTATTTTACTTTTATTAAGGCTCTAATGATGGTTTCTGAAGTAGACACAGTTGAGGTTTATAGACTGGTGACATTCTTTTTCTTGCTTATTTTTTTTACTATTTTCAGTTTACAAGAAGTTTTGTTGGCCTAACTAGTCTATCTAAATGTCGTATGTTGGTGCCATGCATGTGTGTAACACTGTGAACATACATGTGTATATTTGATTGACCTCTATGTTGTTTGTCCCTCCTAGTCCAGCAGGGCAGCTCAGTGCAGGAGATCCAAACCAGCCATGAGAACATCATAAAGATCAACTCAGCAGGAGAAAGTGAGTAGTGTCAGGTTTTAATGGTAGTGCTACACACCTCCATGTAACTGGACATTAGCCGTCAGCCGATAGCCAGACAGTTGGTAAATGTGCCACTGAAGCTCGGTCGGAAACCGCGGATGCTGATCAGCTAATGCAAGCAGGATGAGGCTGACAGAGTGTGCAGGAGCTGGTGGGTGGTCTTACTAGACTGATGTTTGTGTCACAGGAAAACGTGCTTGCAGGTGACTTTTCCGTAAGCAGACAGACTGAGTGACAGACAGACAGACAGATGGCACACTTTCCCCGTCTCTAATGGCCCTCTTCACGATCAGCTTTTCACATTCGAACATGACAGCAACACTGCTGATTATTTATCCCACCGGCGAGTACAAACATGCTTGGGAGAGAGTTTTTGCTTGGTAATGGTTTTGTGAGTGTGCTCCTGGGAGAAAAGAAAATTGAGCTCTGGCATGCTAAGCTGTTTTTCTCTTATCATGTCTAGGTATTATTTTCATCTGCAACAGCTCATTTGATCACTAACCAGGATAATCCCATAATGCCCATATAGAACAATAGAACAGGAGCTCTTTGCTAGAAATAGAAATGAAAGGAAGACAATAAATGAGTTTAGACCTATGTGTTTATGTACATATCCAGTGTGTTTAACTCTGTGTGTGTGTGTGCGTGTGCGTGTGCGTGTGTGTGTGTGTTTTCATGGGAAGTGATGCAGTGCTCAGCAGCCATGGATATCCTCTTCCTCATGGATGGTTCTTACAGCATAGGGAAGGGCAGCTTTGAGAGGTCCAAACACTACGCAATCAAACTCTGTCAAGCGTTAGACATCGGCCCAGACAAGGTTTGTTTTTTTCTTTCTGTCTCTTCTGCGTCTCTCCTCTTTCTCTGCTGTCAACCGTTATTCACGTAACTCCACCTTCATCCAGGTCCGAGTCGGCGTGATTCAGTTTGGTTCCGTTCCTCGGCTGGAGTTCGCCCTGGACTCACACACCACCAAACAAGACCTGAAGAAGCACATGAAGAAGGTTTCTTACAGGTGTGTTTCTTTTCTCATCTCGCCCTCAGACTAATAATGTTTTCGGATGAAAAAGACTTCATTATAGTGTGATTTGGAGTGGGTGATTAGATGGAAGTAGTTTTTATGCTGCTGAAGAAATATGACTGAAAGAATGATATACAAGGTATAAAAAAGATGATATTCAAGCACATATGTAGTTCATAAAGTCAAATACAATTCTTAAAGTTGTTAACTGTCAGTATGTTATCAGGAACATCTGCTATAGAGATGTCTTGTAGGAAACTATACATTGACAAAATTACTGGGACAAAAAAATCACAGCAATTTCCATATTGATATATTACACACATTCAGAGGCTAAGTAACACAAATGCTCCCTGGAAGGGAAAACAAATTAATTTCAGATTAGAGCAGTACACCCCCACAGGTGGTCACTGGATATTGGATAAGTGTATAAGCCAAGAAAGAGGAAAGTATTTTGGTGTGTGTGTGTGTGTGTGGTGGTCACAGTCTGGAAGTAACATGTTGGCATGCCATCTGGTTTGAAATAGCTACCCATATTTTGAACTTATTAGCGTCACATCGCCTCAAATCTAACTAGTAGCTTAGCGTAGTGTAGCCATATGCGGTAGGTGTAGGTATGTGTCATTACAATCTGCATCTCTTCTTCTGACCAATCATATGACAAATAATATGAATAAAACAAATACATATACCTAACAGGACTGCAAAAGATATTTCAAACAGTTTAATATAAAAACTGTGCAAGAGACAGAATTTGATAGACTTAAAAATAACCACAGTAATAGTAAATAATCAGTCATGTAATGATAATTACTCTTAAGATGAGTGTTTATCCGTCATTGTTGTTAAAGTTTACCTACTGCCCTTAAGACAAGTATTTATTAAAATATAACTAAGTATTGTAGAACTTAAAAGAGAGTCTGCATGCTGAGACTCCAATGTATTCTGTTGTTGATATACATCTCTGCAAGAGCTTAAAATCATGCCTGAAGGTTTTGATGAGTGATTTTTGCTTGTAGTTTCTGTGCTCCAAGCAGACAGAGCATTGTTTTCATGGTATAAAGAAAGTGGGAAAGATAATACGGTGGCTCTCATCACTACCTTCATGCCTCTGCTTTTGTTTCAGCTATCCTTTCTCCTAACAATCATGAGGCACATGGAATCTGTTTCTTCTATCTCTTTATTTCTGACTGAAAGAGAATGACATTTATGTCTTTCAGTAAAAATATAATTGAGTTTAAAAGGGTTTGTTGCACCCTAAGGTGAGGAAACTTAGCCAGCATTCCACATGTCCACATACATTTTCAGCCCAAGAACTAAAATAGGAATCCAACCAAAATTGATCTGTGGTTTATTTTGGCAGTGATATGTAGCAGATTATTGACTCTGCTGGCTTCTGCAGTACAGCACATATTCTCTAATTGTTCTGTCTCAGTTTTGCTCTAACAATAACATTTAAATAACCCTCTGAACTCCCAGGGGAGGCAGCACCCAGACAGGCCTGGCTCTAAAGTACGTGCTGAGGAAGGGTTTCGAAGGCGGTCGTAACTCCTCCACTGCGGCCCGGATCGCCATCCTCTTATCAGACGGGAGGTCTCAGGGCAACGTGGTGCAGGCGGCTACGCAGCTCAAAGAGACGGGCGTGGTCTTGTTTGCAGTGGGCCTTCGCTACCCCAGGTATGTTTGATAGTTGGTAAAATAAAGATCACTGCCAATAATAATATGTGACTTCTTTTTGTTTGCAGTGGTCTCTTAAAAGAAAAAGTCTTTGTCTTCCAGGTGGGAGGAGCTACATGCTTTGGCCAGTGAGCCGATGGAGAGCCACGTCTTCTTCGCCGAGCATTTCCACGACGCCGTCAATGGCCTGTACACCACGCTGGCAGCCTTCTCCGTCTGCAATGCCACACCTGCAGGTGGGAGTCAACGCTTTTACCCCTAGAGGCGATTAGGACTGCTACACATGCTTTATTATTCCCTTGTATCCACATATATTCCTTCTTTTGTGTTCCAATTCCACCTAAACTTCCTTCATATCACACCCGTCCCTATTCAATCCTCCTGTCCTGTTACCCAGGCTGTCAGGTGGAGTTGTTTCCCTGCGAGAGGAAGACACTGGAGACCGTGAAAGAGCTGCAGGGGAATTTCATGTGTTGGAAAGGCTCCAAGGGGTATTCCCCATACACGTCTCTCTGTCCATACTACAGGCAAGTTTACACAAACGCATGAATAATGGTTATCTTCCTCACCTTGAAGTAAAAAATCAAGCCTTATGATAAATTCCCCATCCTCTCTATTCACTTAAACCAGAGACACAATTTTAATAGCTACACCTTTACATTTCTATATAATCGTACAACACATTTTTTTTTATAAATCAGCAGTTGTTTTTTTGGTTTCGTTCTTTTTTTTATTGAAGAGGCCACAGAAACAGGTTTATGATAAAGAAGGAGGATGGTGTCAGACTAGGGAGGGAAAATATGCAACTCTCGTCTTTCATTGCTCAATGAACAACATGACTGTTCAACAGGGCAACTCCAATCTGTTAATGCGCTGCGTCAGTGTGAGGGTGTTAATGAAAACAAGCAAGTATAATTCTGCCAGACCCTCCCACGGTAAATTAAAATGGCCTTTGACGAAATTAATTTCACAGCACATTGCAACGTTACCACAGTGAAAAAGCCAAAGGCAAATGGAGCTTGCCAACTTTTCATTTTATCTCCCAAAGTGTGATTTCTCATGAATACACTAAACACTACATTTACACTCATTTACACTCATTTTTAGGCACAACACAAACTACAACTGCTGTTTTTACTTTACTTTAAAACTGATCTTTATATTCCCATATAATATCTTTGTAAACATAGATAAAAAAGTGCCAAATATCTAACATAACACCTTTTTAAATTCATTTTCAAGCTGACAAAACAAGTGAAATGTGTGTTTTGCAGGTACAACAAGGTGTACAAGAGACACCAGACAGTCTGCCATCGGACTATCTGTCCAGGTAACAACACTGTCCTTTCTCTTTCTTTCTCCACTTTAGATGATGTGTATTTGTGAAGGTGCTTGTTCATATTCATGTATGCAGCCTACTTCCTGCCTCCCCCTCTCTCTCTCCCCACTGTACTCTAGATCCTTGTGACTCTCAGCCCTGTCTGAATGGTGGAACATGTGTATCAGAAGGTCCAGAGGGTTACCGCTGTGTATGTCCACCTGGCTATGGAGGAGACCCACACTGTGGTCCGTACACTGTCTTTACACTTACTGAGACGTTGGCAGACTGTAGAACAAACTAACTTGACCCTCCATCCCTCCTCAGCTCCGGCGTTATCACTGGACTGCTCTGTGGACTTGCTGTTCCTGGTGGAGGGTTCTGCCACGCTCACCTTGGAAGGCTTCCTCCGCCTCAAGTCCTTCTTAAAGCGCTTCCTGCAGACTGTGATCGGGTCCAACAGCCCCAGTAAAGTCGGCCTGGCGGTGTTCGGTGGAGAGACCAGAGTCGAGGCCCAGGTTGGCAAGTTCAAAGGGAACCTGAAGGGTCTGCTTAAGGCCGTGGAGGCACTTCAGCCGATCGGTGGCAAAACCCAGACGGGCCAGGCGCTCCGTTACGTCACGCGCCACGGCTTTGTGAGCGCGCCGGTGTTTGCCGACATCACGGACGATCTGCCCCGCGTGGTGGTGCTGCTCACCGCCACGCCTTCAGCTGACGAGGTGGTGGAGCCCTCTAAATACGCACGGGACAGGGAGATCTTCCTGATAGCAGTGGGTCCAGACAGATTAAAGGGACAGCTGAATAATATCACAGGAAATCCCCAGAGGACTATCACCTACACATCACAGTTCAGTGCCAAGATCCCTGAACTCAAGGCCAAGATCTGCAGTGTAGATACGCAAGGTACTGACTCAACAACAGAGCACTTTTACTTAAAGAGGGACTGGGGAGTTTTCTGGTAGACAAAAAAAGGTTATGTTTACCCCAGGATTTTTACTCCGGATTTGTTACATCCATGGTTAATACAAAGCAGTCCTCTTTCCCACAGCCTTTGCTTGCCCATTGCTACATATCAGAGGGAGAAATGCACAAAATATGTAAAGAAAAATTCCAAATCAATTATAAATCCATGGATCAGCATTAACTTAGGAACCTTATTAAGATGTAAAAGATAATATTTCATCTAAACCCTCTGGATTTTGAAGAAAAATGTTTTGTTTTCAAATAATATTCTGTATATTTTTACAGCAAAATTCTTTGTTTTCAGGTTGTCTGGGCCAAGCAGTGGACCTGGTGTTTGCTCTGGACGCCTCAGGCAGCGTCAGCCCCGACAACTTTGCCACCATGCGCGACTTTGTGCGCGGCCTCAGTGTCCAATTCGACATCAACCGCGATGTGGCTCAGATGGCACTCGTGGCCTACGGTCGGAGAGCCACCACCGTCTTCAACCTGGACGCCCACGACACCGGCTCTGCCATCCTCAAGGCTGTAGGCGAAGCCAACTACATGGGTGGAGTGGCCTCAACGGGCACAGCTTTGCTTCATGTCCATTCCGACATCCTGACAGTGGCCAAAGGCGCACGGCCCGGGGTCAACAAGGCAGTGGTGGTGGTGACGGATGGTTCGGGTGGGGATGACGCTGCCGTCCCAGCTCAGAAGTTAAGAGACAATGGAGTTTCCCTGTTCGTGATCGGTATCGGAGATATACAGAAAGAGAGGCTGCTGCAGATCGCTGGTTCGGAGCAGCACATGATCTCGGTGCTGTCTTACGAGGATCTCAAGTACTTTGAAGATGTTCTGGTGCAGATGATATGTTCAGGTGGGAATGTGATCTGCAATATATTGTTTGTGATTTTAATTTCTGCATTTTCTTCCACTAAAAAGACTTTCCAGATTAAAAAAGATAAAAAAAATACTCAGGACCTGTACAAAATATGAGTTTGTGAACTGTTACATTAACCAGCTGTTTTATGATACATTTCTTTTTATCAGAGGCTAAAATGCCAGTCAACCTGTGCAAGCCCAACCCATGTATGAATGATGGGGTCTGCATCCTTTCCGGAGGGAGCTTCCGTTGTCAGTGCCAGGGCTATGAAGGACCACACTGTGAAACAAGTCAGTGGCATTAAGTCTTCATTCTTTATTTCCTTACGTCATTCCTTTGTTTCCACCTTTCCACCTTCGTTTTTGTGTTTATCAGGCAAAGCTTTTAATACATTTGATAAGCAAATGGCTGGGATGCTGTGGGATACTTTGAATGTATTTTGGATGTATTTACTTTCTATCACAGTTCCCTGTAGCAACAGCTGTGTTTTTTGCATATGCAGAAGTCATGACTTTCTCTGTGGTTTGTCCGTAGGGAGCAGCAGGCCTTCATCCAGAGGAGATCTTCCGAGGCCTGCTGGTCTCAGGAAGAAGAGCAGGCAGAAGAAGAGCCACCAGGAGCTCCTGCATCACTACAAACTGCACCGCAGGAGACATGCTGCCTGATAACACCATACGCACATAAAACACAGAAACCAGTCACTTACGGACACTTAAAAACCAAGGATTTTTGCGGGTACACAGTGGAGTAAAGGGGAAAACTAATTTAACTGTTTCAATATTTAAACTTGCACTCAACAAGTGCCTTCAAACTGTCTGTATTTCTACTGTGTCTATTTGTTTGTTTTTGTTGAATGGATCTATTCAAATATGTAAACTTTTATATTATTATATTATGGTGTCATGATTTTATTTTATTGTTTATGTCTACAACGACCTTCTTTTCTTTAAATTAAGACAAAAACATCAAATTGTGTGTGTGCCAAAAAGATGCTCTATGCCAACTGCTCTAATTTACACCGCTCAGCCATAAGATTATGACCTCCTGAGCCATGATAACCAGATAATCGGTGTTATACACTTCACATGTCAGTGCTCATAATGTTATGGCTGATAGTTGTATGACTAAATATATGGTGACGTTCATTTTTACATTTGATGCCTCCTAAATTTACTAATTTACTCATTTTTAGATGTTAAAAAGATTATTCTTTGTTCTCTCTAATGATTGAAAGGTATAAATAATATGTATATATGTATTTCATTATAAATTATATTAGTGCTATATAACTGCCTGGTTTTGTACTTTAACTTACACTATACTTTACTAATATCACTTTTGGGGAAAAGAGAGTCTATATTTAAAGAGTGCAATTATTCTACCTGTACAACAGCTAACAAGCTCTAAAATGTTTGAAATGGCAAGTCATTTAAATCAATAGCCAAAGGTAACATTAAAACACTTTGAACATTCAAAAGGTTTGCCAATCAAATGACTCCCCTTCATGAATGCTTTATTACTCCATTAGAGAGAAGTGACTGAGTTGACTCTAATTACCTGGTTTAATTTTAATGCTGCAGGCTTCCAGTGTCCTTTGCATTGTTTCTACAGTGAACCTTCAGTTTATTTTCAACAGACAAGCTGGACTGACTAAAGACAAAACATTTTCATAAACCAATTTCAAGCCATTATTGCTGTCAGTACATTTTTATTTGAATAAAAAGTGCATTTTTAGCTAGCAATACAAGCCAAAAGGCTGAATAATGGTGTAAATATATTTACATCTTGGCTACCAGCATATATGAACCAAGCTACAATCTAGAGTGTACAAAATGTCCAATTTTGTAGAGGGGTCTTCTACATCAGTGGTTTCAAATGTTTGGCTGTATTCAATATTGAAACATCCCATTTGTGCATTATTATCAGGAACAATTGTTAGACTGGCTGAAATCCTACTACGGTACATCAATTTCCAAATGGAGAAACAACCACTTGAAAAGTCTTCCATACTAAGATTATCCAGTGGTATTTGAGAAGACAGCTTGTGCGTCTCTCTGATTGGCTCTTTATAGTCTTGACAAGGAGGTGATGGGGATGAAGGATCCAGAAAGAGAAGAGTGTATGCTGATTTAATTGTCTGGTTGGAAAAACTTGATTTGAGAGGTCAAGGGAGGTCAAAGGGCATCCGGGTCTCCCTCTAGGTGGTGGATTTCTTCTCCCACTCCTGTTAATACAAAAAAATTAAATTTAGGTATTTTTTTTACAGTATGAAGTATATACAGTCATTGTAGTACTTTGTGAAATATACATTTGTGTGCCAGATACCTCAAATCTATAGTCTCACCTTAGCTTTCTGCAAGACTTTGCCTTTGGTGGCCATGATGGAGGCCGGTCTGCTCTTGAGGGCAGATGCGGAGTTGACAGGGGAGGCCGGGTCTGCGCTGACGTTGCTGTTGGAGGGTTGAAATGATGATGACGATAATGATGCCTGGGGAGCGGACAGGGTCGCTGCTTTAGGCTAAGGGTAAAATGGTAGAGAGGTAGTGAGGGAAAGAACCAAATAACAGCAACAGACTAAAGGGCGGTAAAAGCATGAATGTCAAATATTTCATTTAAATCAATTTGCCAGTACACTAACCGTGGGCGTGTCCTGGAGGCTGCTGTCCAGTGTGGTTCCCAGTGTGAAAGGCCCCGACTCCACCTTCTTCAGACTCTCCTTCACTTCTACCAATCGCAGCTCCACTTCTACCCTGTGCCGCTCCGCCTCCCGACACGCCTCCTCCTTCTGCTTTAAACAGGCTTCTAATGAGGCCTGCTGCTTAGGATCTGAGGACAACACACAGCTGTCAGTTGCACAGATCAGTGTGTAATCAGAGCCCATGTGCCACAAGAAATGAGCGAGGTGTACCTTGGCAGGCGCTGAGCTCCTCTTTGCATTCCCTCCTTTCCTTCTTTAGATTTGACAGACTGCTCCTCACCTCCTCCCTCTCTTTCTCCAGGCGGTCGCGCTCATCGATGTAGCGGCGCATGTCCGCCTCAGTGCGGTTCTTGCCCAGTTTCCCTTCTACTGCGCCGGGACACCCTGGGAATGAATTTTGTACATTTTAGCTCATACATAAGGATAACAACATCCAATATTTGTCATGACATTTGCCCAAGAGTGCAACGAGAAACAAAACAGAAGCATTCATTATTAAAAAAGCTAATTTCTTTTATAATATAAATCAGCACTCTGCTGTGAAGCTGTGCCTTTGACTGTAGAGGATGCATCTTATCACTAGAGGGAGCCATGGTAATGTAAGACTACACAGGAAGAAAAGCAGTCAGTCTTACTCAGTGTGAAGGAAAACAATTATATGTACATTTAAAACTTAGAGAATTTCTGCTTAATATTGAAAAATAATTTACCAAATATTTGAACAAGGTGTATGTGGAGGTAGTGATAGTGATGGATCTGGCTTTTAACACAGAACCCAGCAAACCCAGCATCCCTGTTTTTTTTGTCCTCACCTATGGTATAAGCCTTGGGCCGCAGGGGCTGAGGACTGTGAGGGAACCCGGCAGCAGTCACGCCTTTATGCATCTGGACCCCGGGGGAGACCTGTGGGATTCCCAGGCTGGTCCTCTTGGGGGTCTCCTGGCTTTGGGATGAGGTCTTGACTGGTTGAGTTTGTGGCTGTGGTGGAATGTGAGTCGGCTGGAGTTCTTGTTCTGGTTTGCTGGTTGCGGAGGTCGAACTCGTTCCATTCAACACAGGCGTTGAGTCTGGCTCAGTACGGTTAGTTGAAATGACCTGGCATTAGAGCATTTAATATGGAATTAAAGCACAAAATATAATGTCTAAATACCATTTTCTAGGTCCAACAATACATCTGTTTCAGTAGACTGAACATGTTAAGCAGTGATCTCTGTTCCAAGTACAGCAAATCTGAATAAATCCCTATTACCTACCTCTTTCATTTGAGATGAGGGGTCCTTCTGGTCCTCTACTGTGACTAGAGAATGTCTACAAGTTTCTTTGGCAGGGGGGGCTTTCGTCCCACTAGACGTATGGAGAAAGGAGCGTAGAGGGACGAGGTCCAGGTAAATCCTGTTTTCAGCGTCCTCTTCCGTTTCCACTGAGTTCTTGGTGTCCTGCGTGCACGTTTCATTATGTTCCTGCAGATTGTTGTCCTCAGTGTCTGGCAGGCCACTATCCTCAGCATCCTGTATTTAGCAGAAGTTAAGAGATTGGAAAGTGGCCAGAGGAAAGCGAGTCCATGTAAGAGTGAAAATGAAATTGAAAACTGATCTACAGAACAACAGAGATGTTTATATTTCATGGTATCTGGAGTTAATGGATATATTATTAGTATTAAATTGAATCATCTATTATCACATTGTCCTTTTCTTAATGTGGTAAATGATGATAAAATGGTAACTTAAATGAACTGAGATTATAACTTTGATTCCTGTTTGTTTTGGTTTTAGATAACTTGGTGCATTAAACTGGAACATACCTCTGGATCAGCTATAGACGCCACATCATCATACAGCAAATCAGAGTTGTGAGGGATGGAGGGTGGGGTGTCTATGTAGGTGTTTGGCTCTGAATATCTCCTCTCCATCAAGCTAGACAGACACACAGATGTACAGAGAGGTCTGGCTTAGATACTGTGCCCAAGTATGCACACACCGGTGGGATAAGTGTCCTTTAAAGTGGACAGAGGTAACGATCTTACTATAAGGAAGTCTTGGCAGCACTGACGATGCTGGAAATCCTCTCAGCATTAACATAGTCATACGTCAGCTCCTCGGGGTCCGTCTTGCTCCCCGTCTGTGACAGCAAGAGGCCCAGCCAGTGGCCCATGTCTGCGGACGTCTTAGCCTGACAGAGAGGAGGGGAAAGAGTGGAACAACGTGCATTCAGTACATGCCATGCACTTGCAACATCATAAGATAAAAAAACAGCTTATGGTTTGTGTTGCATGCCATCTGTCACTTTGTATTAATGAACTGATTGATACATTTTCAATTCCCAGCATTATTTTAATGTGCAAAACCTGTCAAGAAGTTGAATGTTTATCCTGAGCTGAGCAGCTCCACTCATCTAAGAAAAGCTGCATGAAACAGCAAGATGTAGTGAGAATGTAAAGCTGTTTTCTAGGTCTTTATTTACAATTAATAATATAACTGTTAATATGTAGAATATACAATTAAGCGGTAACACCTTGAGAACAGACACAAATTCAGTGCGACTGATGCTTACAAATCCAGCTTAAATTACACCCATGATGCAAGACACAACAGCCTATAGTTATTTCGGGAGATTCAAACAGCTCAAATAATAGAACTGCATGATAACCTGATTGTATTGACACATACACTATTTCTCTGAATTAAAATAGGTTGTTTTGGTTAATGTTGGACCTGTAAAAAAAAGAAAAAAAAGAATATAATAACAAGAAAAACCCCCCCTATAAATGTGTCAGAGGGAGCCCTCAAGACTAAACATTAAATTCCATTGCCTATGACCAAATGCTGTAGCAGGGTGGTACTGGAAGCCTAATGAAAAAGGGCGTACCATCAGTCCCCAAAATCCCAGTACATCCACACCCTTCACACACACACTCATATGAACACAAACATGCAGACCACCCTTGTGCACACACATATATTACATTGGCTAAGTTTGATGTCAGCAGAAAGTGATTTCCAAATGAGGGCATGTTAGTGTTTCCTATAAGTAGCTGTACACTGTTTTAAATTTTGAGAAATGCTGACATTTGTTTTTGCCATCCCAGACATATTAGACATCTGCAGCCTGTTGCACCAGTGATAGTTCAGATTTAGCCTTGTTGTAACGTGAATTATAAGTAATTTGTGATTTACGGATTACAACAGAAACGTTTGCACCACTGAGATATGTTAGGCTACAACATAACTCTAAGAAAATAAATATCTAGCTTATTACGATACCAAGTCACTCATGCTGGCTAGAAAGCTAATGTGCACGGTAACAATGGATTATGAAGCTATTTTTGATTGTTGACTGGCCACTTGCCTTAGTTATGACTTTACCTAACTAGTTATGCCACAAATATTCGTGGTGCAAGCAATTTTCGTAGCTGATTTAGTTGAAACTAGTTAAGCCTCTAGTGTCGCTGGTTATTTCTCCAACAGAACTAAGCGCTCATCTGAGGCAAACATGAGTCACAAAACCTCTTGTATCACATCAGATGTCACGGTATATTTTTAATCGTCTTCGGTAAATAGTTTATCTAGCCTGTAACCCACCGGATCAGAAAATAGTAAATGACGTTATCAGCACTCGCAAATAATTGTATGACACTAATAATGTTGCACTGTATGCACAGTGTGAAAGGAAACAGATGGGCTGAATTCATTTGATATTTTCTGCCTTTTTGGGTTAGCACCCACTATGAGTTGAGCACGTACGTTTTTTTGTTTAAACCCACCAGATCCGACACCCTTAACCAACACACACCCTTAAGAGAGTGACACCCTGACAGTAAGGGTGTCACTCTCTTGTGTCAAACCATTTACTCAATGGTTAGAGAAATATTTCTATCGCGTCATTTTCCAGCTCATCATTACAATCATACCCCAATGAAACA